AATGAATGAATAATAGTATTTATTTACATGGAATACAACAAACTCAAAATATGTTACAAAATACTTTAAGGCATGGACAACAGTCCGTCAGCCGGCTCTCTAATCATCTATCTATCTGCCTTATGTATCTTTTTTTCTCTCTCTCTATCTATTTGTCTGTATGTTTATATCTCTCTCGCTCTATCTCTTGTTCACTCTTCAGACCGCTTGATCTCTTGTACCTATCTGTCTATTTATCTATATGTTTCTCTCTCTCTCACTTTCTCGCTCTGTTTCTCTCTCTTTCTCACTCTCACTCTCTCGCTCTCTGTCGAGATATGGTAGAAAGGTCCATGTGACATAACTTTGTGTGATAAAACATTGCATATTATCTTTGTCATCTCTCATTCTCCTCTTCCGGTCCATTTCTTAGCTGCTCTATCGGTCTAGCTGTCCAACTGATCATCAACAGTACTGACATGAGATCTAGATGTTCGTCGTTCTTCTTATGTCTCCTATTTAAATTTGTTTCCATAAAATGAATTCAGTACACTAACCATTTATCTATCGACTACTTAATCTATATCATTTTTCTAGTTTTCTAACAATTTTCTGCCTCTTTGACTATAATTTCTCTACTTTACCCCTTTTCATCTACTTTCACCTTCTCTATGACTCTTTATTCCAATCAAACTCAGTATATCTACCTATATTTTATGTAATTATTTAATTAACTAAGAATTTCTTATTTGTATGTTATGCGGTTAGGCTTTTAAGTTCTACTCTGTTCCGTTACAGTCAAAAATATGTGATTTTTTATTGTTTTTAATCTTGACCAGAAACAAAATACTAGCGATACAACTTTTATTTCCACTACACATGTTTGGGGCCCCGAAAGATTATGGTTGAAAAGAAAAATGAATAGGATACTTCGGGTCGAAGAGTCGAACGACAAGTGCGTGCCCCGTCACCTGGAGCTGCTCGTCGAAAGGATGGGAAAGGACAGGCTCTTCCACGACGTCAAGCCGGGCGACGAGGGTTTCCTCCCGGTCGAATGCGAGCTCATCTTCGCCCTGGGGGTCGTCATCGCCCTCGAAGAGGGTTTCAGGATGGACGAGGCCTGGAACACGATCGGCTACGACCGACGTGTCTTCGACTCCCTCTTGAAAATGTCAAACTTTCGGTAAATTAGTTCGATTCACATGTGTTTTTAAAAGCAAAAACAAATGATTTTTGATTTTATTTTTTAAAGAATCTACCTGTTTTGAATAGAAAAAAAAGTAATAATATTCGTAAATTTTACGGTTTCTTCTTGAGGACTGCGGGGTGATAGGCCGTTTACAAACATTTTACCCTGCCTTTTCTCGAAATATTATCATGTTATCAATATTTTGGTCATAATCTCATTTGCGAACATAAAATGGATATTAAGAATACTTCAATTTTGCATCATCTTGATTACATCTATTTCGCTCAAGAATTTACACGATCGATAATGTCATTTCCGATGGAAATAATGTAGAAAATAATACTTTTTGTCGGGATAATTGAGTTTCTTCTTAAACCTCGACTGAATGAAATTGAATTGCTGTAGTCACTCGACCCCGTAACCATTTATTATTTAGACCTCTTGACAGACGCAAGGAATATTTTGAGTTAGCTCACGAGTAATCATGACCCAGATAGAACGAGTCCATTGTACTAACCAAAAAATGATATATTGTCTACTGGATGGACGAAATTTAGCCGCATTAGCTTATTCCCCCTTCACGTATTATCACATCAATATATCATTTTTACTGAAACCTGCATAGTACATGAAGGGCTTAATTATTAACTACTCTTATTCAGTTTATTTGTTGTTCTTCTGCTTAAGAGTCTTCATTGAAATAGATTACGCTATCCTATGATAATGGTATTTCTCAATTATTGGATTTCATTTTAGTAAAAGTTAAACTTTCAGAACGAAAACTGGGACACTTTCCGTCGAACTACTTCTGCCATTGAGTCATGGATTCAGGTTCCACCTCTCAACGGCCATAATACTCAACAACTGCACCTTGGTAACTGTCATTTCTGAAGACAACAAAGGAAAATGCTTCTCTTCCTCCGCTGCCATCGAAAACGACAAGTACTTGTATAAATTCCCAACGAATGAGATTTTCTTTTAAATAACGCGTTTTTTAGGTATTTGAAGACGTCGGAAAAGGGGGCGGCGATATTCGAAAAGATCTCCGAACTCTGCGCCATCGTGAAAAAGCCGATTTACCTAGCGAAGCTGAACGCATGGAGGAGCCTCAATCAGGTATTTCCGGACATTTTCTGCCTTCCAGAGGACGTCAAAAGGTTCCTGTTCAAAAAGCTGAGAGCTCCGGATTTTGTAAAACTCTGTTCCAGCTCGTCAAAAATATCCCCGTATTTGAACGAAGATGACATCTGGAGGTACAATCGATTTAAAACTATCAGTTTATTGTAAAAATAAGTCATAAAAAAATAAGAATTAAAAGAAACAGAAGATACGATAAACATATAGATACATACGTATATGTTCTTATATAGGAGGGATTGATAAAGAGAACGTGAGATGGGAGAGAGACAGTGAGATAGAGAGTTCGAATAGAGCGATAGTTAGAGAAGGATAGGGAAAGAGAGATATAGATAGATAGGATAGATAGATAGATAGATAGATAGATAGATAGAGAGAGAGAGAGAGAGAGAGCGAGAGCGAGAGAGAGAGAGAGAGAGAGAGAGAGAGAGAGAGAGAGAGAGAGAGATAGAGTGTGAGAGGCCGAGAGTGAGAAAAATGATAAATATAATGGACTAAAGTTATTTCAGAAACGTCCGTTCTTGCTTGCGGTAATCAACTTAATATCTACCTCGATATTTTAGGCATTTTCTGAAGAGGGATTTCAAATGCGATCCGGCCATGAACAAAACGGCAAAAGCGACCTACCAATCCAAAATGATGAACCGTCCTATGATAAGGTTAAACACTACCTCAAGTGCAGCACCCGTTTTCGCCAGGATTGATGAGCAGTACAGGAACTCGTCTGAATACTCTTTCGACCTACCGCCCTACCCGGAGCAATTCAGTTAATCAATCGTCTGTTCTTCAATTAAAATTGAGCGTTTTTCCTAAAACATACGTGTTATATTTGTTTTTATATGTAGAATTGCAAATATTTCAAAACACCACGTGTTTTTAGAGGATTGTGTTACAATCCTCACATTCTTTCCACATGGCTTAGTACTGATAGTCGGTATTATTTTAATCGGATTTTCACCGCAGACATAAGTCCATCCCCGACGTTCGAATTAATTACACAAGAATCATATTCCACATATTAAAACTTAATTGATTTCGATCAACCCCTCCGACGGGATTTAGGTGTTTCTCCACGGGGGTAGGACAGTAGTGGTGGAATGGGTGCCTAGTCGGTCCCACCCTCGATCACATGGCGTGTGTAATTGGATCCGAGCTCTTCTTTTCTCCCCAACAACAAGAAGGGGTCAATTACCCACCCAATTCATTTATTTTCTAGCACGTTTTTTTCAGAAGGAGATGGGTTTTATGCTCCACCTCCTATCCTTACTTCACAGTTGAAATTTTAACGATGTAAATCTGATGCAAACGTAGCGCTGATTATTTTACACAGAAAAAACTTAATTTTAAAGAGAAACCTCTTTTTCAATTACACTATCCTGCTTGATCAGATTTCTTTGTCACCATATTTGATAGTGTATATGCCTTCATTTCCTGTTTCATGCAAATAAATTAACTGAAATAAATTGCTATTTGGCTGTTGTAAAAATAATGCAGGTTTTAAAAAGGCAGTTAAAACTATAATTTTTATAAAATAAAGACAATTTATTCGAAATATTTTCCATCACAATCTATACATCTATGCTAACGTGTAAAAGCGCTTTTATCCGAAGACATAAAAATCTATTTCTCGACTCATAATAAAGTCTTGGAAGGCGTTTTCGGTTTCACCGCGTTCTCTAAAAATTTTATCCCTCAAAATTGATCCAAATGCCTAAAAAACTAATAGTCTGTACGCCAGAAGCCGGATGAATATGAAGGGTGATGTAAGGTTTCATATCCTTAGTTTCATCATAATTCGAAAAATAGGTTGAACAACCCCAGCAGTACACTACCAAATCGATGCCATAACATTTTTTTGGGTGCAGATTTGGCTTTGGAAAGTATTTTGGCGCTTCTTCATTGTCTTACTATTGACAAGTATGCCTCCTATTATCGTGCAGAATTCATTTCTTATCCACTTGAGATGGATTGTATCCTCTCACCAAGCTTCTTTACCTTACTAAATTGCTCCAGATGTCAAACAACGGTAGAATGGTTAACTTACGCGACATCCTGTGTTATTTTATATGACTTTTCTTCAATCAACATTTTAAATTGGTCGTCGACAACAACGGAAGTTCTACCTCGACATTCCCTGTCTTCGAGATATAAATCTCCAAGACGAAATCTCTGAAACCATCGCTGTACCGAGAATTCGCTAATGCTTCCCTCTCCACAATCACTATTGATGGTACATGCGGTTTTGGCTGCACTTTGCCTATGTTTAAATTCGTACAAATAAATTTGACGAAAATCTAGTTTGGACAAGCAATTATTTAGAGTTTAATGAAAACAAGGTCTTTTTCTATTATACCGACGCTTCGCCACATAATCCCTCAATGAATTTACGGTTGAACACCTTCAGTAAACCCATTTATAACACGAGTTTTAATGAACTTGGAAGCTTTCGTTTACGATTAAGCCTCAGTAGTAGGGTGTCATCAGGAACACTTGGAGCATAAATTAGTCCGCGAGTTCGAGCTTAGGGCATTACGCCGGTTCAACTTTCTACTCGCATATCCCATTTTCGCTGGAGGGAAAGCTGAAAAACACACTAACAAATCTCTGGGGCCTCTGTTCCGGGAATTCCATTGAAAACATATTTTCTCTCAAGTGGAAAACAATTGGCCGGACTGGCTCCGATTCAACTCGGCCCTCCGGTGTGTGTATAAAGAGGCTCAAGAATTCAACGATCCTCGAAGTAAAGCCGGGAGAAAAGCAAAACGGCGCGTTATCCCCAACGAGACCGGTCTGAGGCATATTGAAAATACAAATCAAGCATATGCCGAAGCCAATAATAAACCAAAATCTTTAATGGAACCGTACCGAAAAATCAATTTGCATTAAAACCTGAACTAAGTAAGCGAATGTAGGCAGTAAAACCTAGTATATTTAAAAAGATAGTACCTACTTACAGTAAGTTGTTTTCTACGTTCCGGATTTCAAGCTTATAGCTCATCCTCAGGTTGAAAGAGTTCTACAACATACATAACATAACACAATTAAATATTATATTAATATAAACTGTAAAAAATTAATTATAAAGTAGTGGTTTATTTTATTTTAATTTTATAATTTATTATATACATACACACACATAATTAAATTACACATGTATGTGGGAAGGTGCATGTACAGCATGACGTCAACCCCCGGACTGAAGTGATGTATGGAGGAGGGGAGTTGGCGATCAGGAGGTTTGAGGACAGTGAGAAAAGAAGAACGACGTAGTTTGTATTGTTTTTTTGTATTAAGACGTTTAATTGTAATCTTTATGACGTTGTTGTAATTACACTGTTTCACTCCACGATTGCCTTCTCATTTTGAGCACCTATTAATTCCACATGTATATGTGTAATTTAAAGAAAATACACAATCTTATTAGGCGTTTGGGGTATGAAATAATAAGCTAAATTGTGTTGCTCTGTAAAAATCCAAAAGTAATTGATTTCTAAGAAAAAATGTAAATAAAAGTTTTATAATAGAATTTTACCTGTAAAAATACTAAACAAACGACAATTAGAACTATTATATGTGTTAGATTTTCAACAGTTTAACAATGCACTCCTAACTTGTTATCTACTCAACAGGTTAACCTCCCTCTTAACATTCGAGTGGAGGTAGTGCGCGGCAAATTTCAAAATTAGTTTAAACAAATATAAATGTGCTTAAAAGAAGTATGACATTAATATGTAACGTCGACTTTGTTTTACATACATACACACGTATATATATTAATTTATACAATGCTAGAAAATTTTAGATAAAAAAATGAATTTTTACAATGCTAGAAAATTTTAGATTATAATTTTTTATCTAAAATTTCTAGCATTGTATAAACTAATTTTTTCACATCCCGCATGTATTTGTAAAATTTAAACAATGTTTATAAATCCTAGGCCCGGAAGATGATCTCAATTAAGATCGAAACGTTGGCACGATAAAGAAAATGTTTTTCTAAAACCTACGTCACACCAGACCGCATCTTACTATCTCCGAATAATCTATGTAACACTGTCGTACTTAAATTTAAATTGTGTTTTGTTTCTTTTAGATGGTCCTTAAATTCCGAAAATTTGTTTGATTAAGGCAAGTGTTCTTTAACATTCGTTTTAATTTCTCTACCGCTTTGTCCTTTATAGTTAATGTAGCAATCATTACAATTAAATTTGTAAATCCCGTTTTTTGCCAGGTTTTCTACCTTATCTTTAGGTTATGAAAGGAACAAGTACTTTTAAAAACTATTCTAAAACCTTCTTGCTACTTTTTCTGATAATTCACCAATGTATGGCAAACAACGGAAACCTAATGATCCTTTTATGGTGCGGTGGCTGTGTCCTGTTGTTGCTTCTTTTAAACTTAATTTTTTTAGTATTTTAACTAGCAACCAATCTTGATATCCAATATAATTAGCTAAGGCTTCAATAGTTTGTATTCTATTTTATAGTTAGCAGGTGTTAATGGGAGACTTAATATACGGTCTATGTGCCAAATGAAACCAGTAGATTTTTGGGTCCACGGGTGAGAAGAATCCGCTGGTGTCATAGTGTCTGTAGTTGTGAATTTTCTATATATGTCTTTTTATATTAGTTTGTTTAATATGGACATTTTTAAATCTAAAATATTTAAACAACCATCTTTATTATTTTCCAATGTGAAATTTATATCACGGTGTAAAGAATTAATTAGTTGGAGGAATTCTTTGAGATCCTCTAAAAAGAAAATATACGGAAGATGGAACGTACTAATACAGACAATAAGGAAAATCAAAATCCACGAATACAACAACATACTTAATAGGATAAAGGGAAAACTTAGATAATTAGATACATGAGTGCTGTTAGTTGGATATATAGAGTGTTTGTGAACGCCTGCGAGTAGTTCCGGTGATTGTGTTTGTGAATTGTGTGTTGTGGCTTTAAAAAAAATGTATGTTGAATTTAAACAAATACACTCGCGTAAATCTATAAATCCTTATGTGGAATTGTGTAGCCGGCCACTTGTGAAATGATGTGAAAAGGCACTTCAAACTTTTTCCACCTTGATTCGAAAACCAGCGAATTCAGTTGTCTCACATTATAAAAATACATTGTTTTATATTTACGTATCGGATTCATATTGAACGGTTATTAGAACCTGGTTGATGTTGGGCAACGGTCCCTGAAAGTCTGTCGGTCAAGCTTCGCGTATAATCTTGTTTAAGAGAAAGGAGCCCTCTCGAGATTAATCCCGTCCACTTTGGCCCGAGACCAAATCTCCTAAGGACTATTTTATGGATTGTAAGCTCTAATGTTTAAGCTCTTCATTGTAAAATGTGGGGTTGATTGTGAAGTCTTCGAGGTAGCGTTATTAGGCATCGTTTAAACCCCTTTTTAGAAAAAGGTGGTTTAAATCAAACCGTTGGCCGGTTTTATTTCGTCAAATGGGCCAAAGGAAAAAAGGGGTAGAAGGGGTTCGTCGAAACGACGTGGCTCTCGGCGATAGGCCTCTTCCTAGTCGGGGTGTTCGATATAAAGTCGGCTCTGTACGTGACATCCTGTCGCCTGGGCGTGATGCCACTCACGGAAGTGGAATGATTCCTCGAATAATTCATAGGTCAAGGGATATCACATTTTGAATCGCGGTTTTACACAATTTCCACTCGTAACACAAAACCATTCATCCCTAAAACGTACTGGAATACACGAAACAAATGTTAAGAGTTTGAATTTTTTTGGACAAACTTTGTTACCCTTTGTTTAGTTGAAATAAAGAAACTCACGACTCTCCTGGATTA